TTCAAAAATATTGATTAAATTCTGTAGGCTTGTGGAAATAATGTTTTTGGCAAATTGAAATTCCAGTTTTATCACTTTTTACTTCGCCTTACCTGTTGTTCGCCAGTTTCCTACTTAAATGCGATCTCAGGCCTACACCAAACTCAGGCAGCAGCGCACCAAGTTTGCTGGTGAGATAATGCGATTTGCGCTAATCTTGGAGCAACCAGGTCATTAGACGCGCCTCGACGCCGAATCTAAAAGCTTAGTCCGCACGTAGGCCTAAATTTTCCTTGTAAAACTTCAGCTTCCCAGATTGCTCCGTTACGAAATCGCCAACTTTGCTGCATATATTTTCGACGTGTGTATGACTCGCGTGCAATCCAAAGCTCAATTTTGGTGTGCGAGATTCAAACACAGACAATGAATAATCGTGCATACTTCTGACAAATTTTTTAATTGGCACCTTTCAGCGTTGAGGTGCTTGAACGCTTAAGGCAGTCGTTAAAAATAATAGCTAAATATGAAACTTTATGCTTTACATGCGGGCTGCGAATGTTTATGCAAAGTTTTAGCTTCCTATGTTGACTGGTTCTCATAACCGTTCGCCAAAAATTTACATGTTTTCTTTCGGTTTCTGTTTGTAGAACCCAAGCGTACGTGAACGATAATTTCAAAACGGAAGGATCGAGCACGGAATGGAAATATACTCCAAGTGCTTAAGCCTCCTAGCTTCCCTGACTGCTAAGTTGAAAGTGAGTAACAAAATCCAATAGCCTACAAATACAACGGCACACGCACACGTACACAAACACACACACACGCACAATAAAATCATCTTGACAACGTGCGCTCGTAGCGCAGTAGCGCATAATAAGCAGTCGAAAATAGAAAAATTATGAAAGAAAAAGCATCAAAGAAAATTGCAGGTACAAGTGTAAATTACAGATTCGCGATTATGATGACTTAGAATACTTGGGTAATATAACAATCGGTACTCCGCCGCAATACTTCCAAATTGTACTGGACACGGGCTCTTCAAATTTATGGATTCCATCGGCAAGTTGCACATCTCTCAGCTGTACGGTTCATAATCAGTTCAATGAAACAGCTTCATCGACATATGCAAACAACGGTACATCATGGTATATTGGTTACCTGGATGGATCCGGTGCTGATGGCGTCCTCGGTACGGATATTGTCCGTGTGAGCTATTGCCCGTTTCTCTTCGAAAATTGATTTCATTCAGTGAAACATCGTTCAAAGACTACAAAGCCAAATCGGTAGCAGACAAAAAATTCATACTTATTGCTTGCCCAGTTCTCATTTTGGCCAGCTTTCTCCTGAAGATTTGATAGAGCAGTTTTGTTTTAATTGCTCTCATTGTCACTGCATGTCATGTCCTAGCTATTCCAGCTGTCTCGCCGCAGAATAAGTATAGTAACTAGCCAATGTTACACTGATTATTGTATACAGCTAGCTAGACTACCAGCACCTTGCATCAATAAGATAGATTTCTGCACAATACTTCATGGCTGGCGAAACCAAAGAAGGCGGAAGCTGAATTATCTGCCGTCAAAGTTGGGGAAAGTTCTAGGGTATAAATTTTAATAAATATGGTATGTAAGGTAAGGTGTGCGTGTGCGCTGTTCTGTTAGTCAAACTTCGGTGGAGTGCCTATCATGCAAGTAACTTTTGGCAGGAGTGTTTGCTGTTTTTTCCTCCGTATTTGTTTTTATGCCTTTGGCACCATGTAAGCAAAAATCAAAATGCAGATGAGCACACACGTTAAACTGTAAAGCAATAACTGCTATTTTAGACTTTGTTCTAAAACGCACGTTAGCACCGGCGGGCCTTATATTTTGCTAGCTGAGTTGATTTCAGTTAGGCGATGAATCGCCTGAGCAACTGGTAATCCAGCAACAGACTTTCGGGTTGGCGATGCATATGGTTGGCTTTGAGTTGGACCCTGCAGACGGCATACTTGGACTCGGTTTCACGTCTTTGGCTATCAACCACGTCTCGCCACCTCTCATTAATGCTATACAGCAAAAATTACTTCAGGAACCTATATTTACAGTCTGGATGGAACACCGGGTTTGCTACATTATTCTGTTGTTATTAACCTGAATCCACAATTCTTTGATTTGTTTCGATGATTCGTTAAATATCGGACGACAAAGTTTTTTCTCTCTGCTTCTCGAAACACCAGAAATTATCGAGATGTCCATGTAAATCCAGTGAAAGTGAAGTTTACGTAGCTTGTGGCACAAGTAATGCAAGGCATGTGTGTATCACATGCCTCACACCAAAGCAAAGCAACACCTTATTTAAAAACAAAAACGACAAAACCGCAAAAAAGCAGCAACCGTGGAACTCAGTGGGTAACAGCTTCAAGTTACTGTTAGGCAATGCGCGCAATGAAGACAGACAGGGACCTGAAGGGGAAGAAGGGAGAGAGTAGGGGGAAGACTAACCGGTTGAAGCCCATTGCTGCTGCTACACAGCACCTGACGAACGCACAGTGTTGAACTGCATTTCTGATCATATCATCATTTTTCGTGAGTTTTTGCATATAAGCAAAAACAAGAACGCATATTATAACGGTTCATACTGTGCGTATAGGGGGATGTGCATGGATCGGTCCGGGTATTTCAATTCCGCAACCAAGCAAGTTTCGGCGTCGAAATTTTGCCAGCGGGTTTTTCGGCCAACCGCTGCCCCCAAGACAGCGGTGCCAACTTCATGGATGTTTGAGTCCCGCTTGTGAGAACTTGAAAGTTTTGACGCGAGAATTGTTAACACGGTAACAAAAAAACTGGAAGGGTGTAATTTTTACGAAACATTTCTTCTTTATGCGCAACTTAAGATTTCAAATTTATCCCCCAGATACGCAGGTTTCCACGTACAGGTACGTAAAAGTTTCGGCGAGAAAATTGCTCACTGAAGGGCTAGGTCGTTATCAAAAAAGAATCATCAAAAGAAAATTGATTATTTTCCTTCATGCAAAAATTACGATGATTTACGCTAGTGAGCAAACAAGGTAAATGTAAAGCAGCACATATACACAGAGCTAACGACCTAATTGCTTCAAGTTTAAAGCAACCCTAAGCTGCAGTGCAGCCGGCTTGCCACGCATGATCGCAGCGCTGAATTTGCAGATCGCTAACAGTAGGCATTATTCCTGCGTTGTGGTTTAACACGTAGACTCAAGTTGATCCTGTTTTGATCTTTTCTGCATGCAGAGGAAGGAGTGTAGGCTAGGACGAAAGTGTTGCATTGTGGTCCGTGTAAACTCCCAGCTTGCATGATTACCGATTTTTCATGAAGCTGGGTCGGCCGTCCGTCGAAAAAAAGCAAATTTGAAGAAAGTCGGAAGGAGATTACAAAATCCGTAAAAATGAGCCTGCATTTGAGTTTGCGGCAAAATTAAGCATTTGTCACGTCTACGTGCAGCAAATTTTGCCTCCCGATCGAATTTAGAAAAAACATGAACACAGAACCTCCCTGCAAAGCTTCAGTTTTGCAGCTTTTCAGGCAAGCGAAGTAGCAACTTCACTGCAAAAACATCTTTGAAGCGTTCTAAGTCGTGGCACAAGTGCTAATCGTAACTCAGTTTAGGCATACGACTTTCCATGTGGGCGCCAAATATTCCGAAGAAATTCCAACTACAGGTTTCCAGCTAGTTTCGTATTGAAATAGTGCCAACTGCAAAAATTGACGAAGCGGTATGCGCCATACAACCGTGCGTGATAGCTGAATTTGAAATCTTTAGCCTGTGCGTACATGGAGAATACCTATGCACATACACGGAGAATACCTCTGCAAAGTTTCGGCTTTCTGCCCTGTCTGGTTTTCTCAATCGTTTCCCACCAAAGAAATTGGTATATTTTTCTGGAGGTCCGTATACGAGATCAAGGCACATATAAGCGAAGATTTGAAAACAGGAGGACGATACGCGGATGAGAATACGTCGCCAAAATTTCAGTCTCCCAACATTCCCAGTTGCTGAGCTGAAAGTGGATGACACAGGCACGCGCCCAGTTTCTCAACAATATGCGTTTTTATTCACTGTAGCAGCGCTACAGCAGAAACCATCAGAACGGATGATCACAATAGCAGGCCTGCAGCTTTCCAACCTAGGGTTATGTTGCAGGCAGAGGCTTGAGCTACAACGCGAAGCATTTACATATTACACGAGAGCGAACAGCAAATGGGGTTGGCGAAGGCGATCAACCGCCAACTTCATCTCTTGCTCGTGTCGGCACATTCTTCCTTCTGCAACAGTAGCTCATAGAACGGAGACGAAATAGAGGTTCAAAAGCTCGAACTGCTTCGTGTGCTGACTGTTGTTATGGTTGACTTGTATCTTGGTCCTGAAGAAATGGAGATAGCGGGGAATTTTACCTCGATGCATGCTTTTGCATTACAGATTCCTTTCACAACTGTATTTTTTGTTAAAACCCAGGCTGGAATGCGCCAGGCTCTCCGGTACGATCATCCGTTTTTGCACTAAACTCGCCGATCGCTATTAGCAGGAATGATCCATACGCTGTAGCCTAACAACTGGGTTTATATTGGCCGTGCTTTGTTCCTTTCCGGCGTGCAGGAGGAAAGGTGGCAGTTGGAATGAAGGTGTACATTATAGAGCTGCACGGACATCTAGGTGCATGATTGCCGGTTTTTTGCATGAAGTCCGGTCGTTTGTTTGGTAAATGCTCACTTTGTAAAAAAATGACTAGTGCAGATTTTTTGAAGAAATGCAAATTTCCAGTTCACTAAAAAGTGGAAGTATTGCTCGAGCGGATGTTTGTCC